CCTTAAGGCAAGCTCATAGGCGTGTCAGCGAAAATGAAAAATCGAAAATAGTATAACAATAGAATGGGAGAAGATTGAATCGTACAACGGTCTACAATGCACGGGTAAAACACCCGACGGGTTTCGTCACCCTCTTCAAAAAATAATGATGCAATACTTTGATCAGAACGGAAGACGTCCGTCCCAATAAAGCTGCCCACCAAGACTGACAAGAGATGGAAGTTAGCTGAGCTGAATAGTTCGATACAATTTTTTCAGAGTTAGTACTAGGTTAAGTTAATGCATTTAGTCTATGCTATTTATAGTGTATAACTGATTTATGTTCATAGTGTATATTGAGTTGCTCATGGTACATATTGATTTATTGCTTACAGTGAATAATTAATTTATGTACTTTATTATATTTACATCATTATATAAAGCATTTAATCAATGAAATTAAAGCATTCTCTGATAGAAATATTGTGAAAACTTTGCACAATAATGGCGCATCATGACAAAAATTTCGTAATAATTATGCTAAGATTTGTCATAACGCAACAGTTTTGTCAGAATAAAATTTCTAAATGATATTTGTCAAAAATTAGACAAATCTAATTTGAAATATAAGCATGTTATAATTATTGTAATACTTTATACAAACATAAAATCATTTTAATATTTGTCATAATACAGCAATATTTATTATAGCATTCTCAGACCTAATATTTGCATTTTAATTGTTAAGTTAATTAAATATTTACTGTTTGATTCTTCTTTTAAAATTTTATCATGCCAAATGAATAATATTTCATGTTATAATATTTCTACATTAGAACTTAAGAATAATTGTGCGTATATATTTGATTTGATTTATTTCCTTTATACGCGCAATTATATTTCTGAATGTTAAACATTACCAGCTAAAATATTTTTCTCAATTATTGGACTGTATTTTTTCAAATTTAACTTGGCAAATCTGTCGCTAAGATGATTCACCATATCATCATTATACAGTTCTGTCGAAATACTATTTTGAAATAAATTGCACAAATAGTTATTAATATTTTATAAAAGATCAGTAATATTACATCTGTTTTTATAAATATATCTATATATGTAATTGCAGACTACAAATTTTTTACAAGATTTCGACATATAATTTTATAGATACTTTCCTATCAGAATTCACAATTAAATCGACAGTAATTATAATTCATTTTAGCAGTAATTTTTAAATAAATAATGTGGTATATTGCAATAAAATAATTTTTTTCTACGGAAAAGGAGGAGAAGTGGGCATCGATACAACTTTCTGTCAAAGGCGCAAGGCACCCTAGGTACGCTTCTGATTGAGAGGTTGGATCCAGGTCCGACCTCCGACCGCCGACATCGTGTGTAGAAATATTTTTCGCATTATTTCGTAGCGTCTCTCTTCGTTGCTCGCTTTTTTTTCTTTTCTTTAACAGCGATGAAAAGAATCACGCGCGCGGTGATCCATATGTGAATTGACTTCAACAGATGTTAGGATGACGTTAAGATCCTGTAGGACCAGGACGGATCGTCTTGATATGCATTAAAGCTGTTACTTTTTACTTACTTCGAATATTCGAAGCTTCAAAGTTTCGAAAAATACATTCGTGCAAATTTACTTAAAAAATTAGTAATTTTTATTAATTTTACGATTAAAAATTTTCTGTTTTTAAGATTGTTTTAATGCTGAGGATGAAGATTTAATGACGCCAAAACAATTATATTAATTTATTATATTTTTATTTATTTATTTAGAAATAAATTTATTTTTATTTTTTTTAATTTTTTAAAATTTGTTTTATTGATTATCTTTCCTTATTTATGTACATATATCAAGTTTAATTATTAATTTGTTATATTTCAGATTATAATACTTTCAAATTTTTTAGGAATAATTACGTATATATATTTTGAGTGTATATATATATATATATTTATTCTTTTCATTTACAATATCTAAATTTTCTAAATAAATTTCTTTGCACGAATGTATTTTTCCAAACTTCGGAACTTCAAAGCTTCGAAAGAATTCGAAGATTTTAATGCCGAAGCTTTGAAGTTCGAATATCGAAACCTTCGAAGCAAATCACCAGCCCTAATATGCATTCCCGCGGAGAAAAAGAAACTTTTCGCCAAGTTCATGCGAAAATATATATTGTATATAGTTTATTAAGAAGGTACGGTAAGAACCGTAAATGAGAATGCTAGATCGCGCGCCGTACGTATTTTCTCTCGGTCGCGTTTCTTTCCATTATCACAAATCGACCGCCGCGCGCGCGCGCGAGCCGTACTCGCTCCTTTTACGTCATCAGGCGCTCACATCAGGGTCTCACACACGCGAACGCGGAGAGATGTTCTATTTCAAATTGCGCGTAACGATGGGCCATTTCGAGCAATCTGTCACACAATGAGCAATGTCGTACGCGGTTGCCCTGAAAGGGAACTAATTATTCGCGCGAGAGAGTATATATAGGTACAACGTATAACACACATCCGCGAGAACGGAGGCGCGTTGATATATTACTATTACATATTACTATTATATATTGCATTACTATTATATATTGTATTACTATTATATATTACTATTATATATTGCATCGCAGTTTTTATTGACTGAGCGATCGATTAAAACCGATACGATTAAAATATATATTAAACGGCCTCCAATCAACAATCTCCATTGTTGTCGAGCATAATTTTGTAACTGGCGCCTTTCGGACCACCTCTCCTCTACGGCCGGCGCGGCGCGGCCCGTAAAATCTGTGGTAACGACCTCGATACCGCTGACGAAATCCAAATTTGACGGCACAGCTGTTTTAGCGCGAACACAACGCTTTCCATGGGGCTTCGTCTTCGCGCGATTGACCGCATATTTCGGATCGCATTCGGATCAGATTCGCGGACGTTAAGATAAATTCAACGATAACGGCGAAATATTACCGCGACGGCGGTATAAAACGCACGACGAATACGCGGCCGCGCACGATCGATTTGTGATAATAAAAGAATAGCCCGAGAGAATACGGCGAAGCGAATTAATGTTCGCGTTAACATTTCTAGCCGTTAATTTTTTACTATTAAACGTGTATCTTTGCGTGAATTATGTAACTTGACGAGAATTTTCTTTCTTCGCGAGAATATCGAGGCAATCTGCTAAATTGATTAAAGTCCAGCGAAAGAAAGAAAAAAAAGGAAAGAAAAGCGAGAAGACGCGATGTGAAATAATACGGAATGTATAAAAATATTTCTACACACGGTGGCGGCGACGGCAGCGGCGATGATCGAACGGTGGTGGTCGAACCCAATAAATAATTGAAGTCATCTTCCCGATACGATCGCTCTTTCAATAAAAGTAATTATCGTGTCGTCCTTTTGAGATAAAAAATCGAATCGAGGGAGAGGGAAAAGCCTAGATGAGGGCGGAGAAAACAAATTGGGGAGATATCTATTACGCGACGTACAAACGACCCATGGTAGATAATGAATTCGATTGTTTGCCGGCGGTATTATCGCCCTACTCCCCGGTAATAACGGCCAATCGGGAAAAGGGAAGGGCGCCCGCTGTTACATTCGAAATATATAAATGGACCAATAACTGTTATACCGCCGTTCAGTCGAGTTCCTCGATTCCACCAGTTGATAAACTGCTCGGGCGCCGCTCTTCCTTTTTCCTCCCCCTTTTTTTCTTTCTTCTCGCTACCTCCGGACTCACACTCGGCGGAATTCACTGCAGCGCAGCGCACTGTCGTCCGGAAAATCGTAGCGCCAGTTACAAAATTATTTGCAGGCACCGGCAAAGGTAAGTCACGCACGTTTACGCACCACGTATTCAAGGTTCATCTCGGCTTCACCCGCGAAGCTACCCCGGTCGAATATTATTTTTGTGAAGCTTTCGCATTTTATATAGTTCCGGAGCGAGAGAAGGTGGCTTTGAGTACCTTTGACGCACCGAAATAAATTAACATTATGGAACACTTGTCTCGGCACGCGTACGATTCATCGGCGATACCTTGCGGTTTGCACACAAATTCTCTTCGAAATAAAACATATGCAATGCTTATATACAAACGCAAAATGTTTTAGCTTCCTCGAAACGGCGAGCATTTTTATAACTTCCCCGCGGACCTGGTCATATAGGAAATTCCTCAAGGAAATGAACCCTTTGAATTTGTTTCGGACCGAATTACGTGTAACTATCCCGACGCAAGATTTTTTTTCTCTTACGAATCTCCCTCGCGAGAACCCAAGTGAAGAGGATCAAAGTTAGTACGTTAGATCGCGACGGTTTTCAGGGAAACAAAATTTTAAGGCATTCGCGTCAAAGGAGCGTGCCTTCGCGCACGTGTCGTCCCGATCCGCTTCCCTCTCCAGCTTTCGAGGCGGCAAAGTTAGCAAACCAATCCGGGCTAAAACGGCTGATGCAACCACGGTAAGACAACGCATCTGTCGCTCTCGCTTGCGTACCTTTTTTCTAGCAGCTCGGGTGACACACGAGATATTAAGGCGAGCCTCCTCTCGATTCGATGTAAATTAATTCGCTACTTAATTCGCGCGTTATACGTATAGGATATTTTCTCGCTAAGCCGCGCACTTCTGAGTCAGCTCTTCCCTCTCCGCGCAAAAAGGTATCCGACAGTTCTCGAATTGTGAGCGATTACGAGGTGTCTTTTGTGAACTATAAGCCATGCATGGGGATGAGTGGGCGATAAGATTCTTTTCTCCGTTACTTTAAGATAGAACTCGTAAGTAGAACTTTTAAGGTAAAACTTAAGATAGCATTCGGACAGAATTTAAATTTAAAATAGCGTTTTACGGTTCTTAATTAACCTTCAAACTACTATATCGGTCTCACAGACCGCTATTGAAGCTTTACTTGTCAACAGTTTTCTTAATATTCACAAGAGACACTCTAAACTCATAGTACCTTCATATGCCATCTGTTCCTACGAAATGTTGTGGTAGTCTTATTGTCATTCGCTGGAAACGTGTAAAATATAAATTAATGTTTGAAAAATTGTAGTCGTCTCACAGACCGGTGTTATGGTTTGCGTTACTTTTTCGCAGTATTGAGAATGTATGTATTTCTTAATCTACGTCTTATTTACACATATTAATTCGTATTTATTGGTGTGTTGTATATATGTTTTAAGGCTAGAAAAGACTAAAAATGGCTTTTTATGCCATTATAATTTTTGTAACATGTACATTATGCCATTATAAATTAAAACGTAAAACTGCATATAAATATGCATAAAATGCGAGACATCGATTTGTTTAGTGTTCGCGAAAGATGTGCACTGTTTAATTGGTATGCCAACAATGTTTTTAAAAGTTCAGACAGTTCCTTTAAATATATAGTTGCGTAACATAAGAGAGATTATACAAGAAATATCTCTAATAACATTAATAGCATTAATAATAAATTACATTTTTGTTTTCGCTAGTCAACTATTCAATTTTTAGACAATTATTAAAAAAACAATTATTAAAATATTTTTTATTCACTTTAAATTTAAGTAAACAATTATAAATATTTGTCATTTAAATATATTTTATTTCTTTTGTATATAAGATTTTTTGTTAATTTTCACATTAAAATATATTTTTCCTTTTTCCCATCAACAAGTATTTAGAAAACATATATTTTTTATTATAATTAACTTATAAAATTAGTGGGAGCATAATAGCGGTCTGTCAGATCATCTGTCATTGTAGTTAGTGTGATTTTTTTGGATGTGGTTTAAAGGTTAAAATTTAAGACAGTGTTTTATAGTTTTGTTATTAGAGAGAGATGCTTGCCTTGATAAGTTGTTGCTCGTTAGTAATGCGTTTCTCTAAATAGCAGCGCTTTGTGTCACTATTCATTTGTTGCGATAAATCTTTAAAAACAATTCTCGCATTGAAAAAATCATTCGAAATAAATTAGAGGATTGATACGACTCAGGAAGATCTGCTTAGCGAGAGATACCATGTATACGTAAAATATGAGCGACACTACAATATGTATCGTGCGTTACGAACATTCTTCAGCTAAATATTCCTGAAATATTTATGGAATATTGTTGATATTTCATGAATATTTAACAATGTTTTGAATTTTCTTAACGCTAGATCCTTCATTATCCTTCTCCTGAGCTTCTCCTGAGATTCGCGATAATTTCTTTTTCTGTCAATTCGGTAATCTCATGGAGGTAAACATAGCATTAATTCGGCACATTATATCGTCCGGTTTGCGAAACGCAAAATCGTGCTTAAAATAAGTTCTTATCCTGCGGATCTTATCTCATGGGGAAACTCTCGGCGGCGTCTCGTACTTTCCCAAAGTGTTCCAATAATTTCTTTTCGAACACGTTCGCCAAGATTTTTTTTCTATCGCAACTAACACTCTTTCCAGATGCAGCTGTGTCTCTTGAGTCTCACGTATTTTCTAGCGCTCGTCGCCGCGATCGACGTAGCTTACGGAAATCCTTTGACGGTCTTCCTGCTGACGAATGCATCGTACACGCGTGCGAACGTCGATCAGTCCGACGCGGTGAACAAATTGAAAGGAAAGCCGGCCGGCGAAAAAAAGGTATATACCACCGTTTTCTTTAATTAATGAGCCCAAGTTTTGAATTTATTAAAGTTTTCTTTTTCGTATTTCATCAACGGAAAGAGCTGTTGTGCGGCTTCTCGATTTCGTTTTCCTAACTTTACGAATCCGCCAGATTCTCTCCCTCTCTCTCTCTCTCTCTCTCTTTTCGGCTTTTGTGTGTAATCCGATAATTCCTTCTTCTAATAATAACTAAAATATCTGAAACCTTCGTGTTCTAGAACGGTTTCACGTCAACGTGGACCGAAATTGATCAGAATCCGTCGGATTCCTTAGAAGTTGCCGTCGGGTAAATATATATACCGCTTAGAGATATAAAGTAACGAACTTTAATGCATACATAGACACAAAAGTAACGTGATCGCATTCCACTCGTATTCATTTAGGAGCCGCGTCGAACTGCATTGCGTGGCAAATGGAAATCCGCCGCCACAGGTCTATTGGATAACAGGAAATGAACCGGAAAGGCAGGTCGGTTCTCGGTGATTTATAAATAAAAAAATTATGCAACAACGCACCCTTCATGTATCTGTTCATTCTTTCTCCCGCAGATTCAGGAATTGATCGCGCGTGTTCAAGAAAGGAGCAGCACCACATCCCCGGGATGGGAAGGAGTCGGTCAAATCTCTTCCACATACGTGATCGATTGCGTTAGAGTTGAGGACCAAGGTTTAAAATACTGTGTGTCCGTATCTAAAAATGCGGTGGCCCAATCAACGGCGACGGTACTCCTCGTTAACAGTAAGCGAGACGATATATATTTTGCTGTTAGACCGAATATAAATTGTACTATTACCATTATATTGTTGTCTACCAGGCACCAAGGTTACCGAGTGCAACCGGCAGGGCCAGTCCACCATTACCTTGCACGCCCCGTGGAGATTCGCTTTTGCAGGGAACACGATAATTTTACCGTGCAGGGTCGTAGGTCAGCCGACGCCTTATCTATTCTGGTTGGACAACTTGGGCAGAATTATAAGTCCCAGCACACACACGAGATATATTGTTCTACCGAGTGGCGATCTGCAGATATCGGATCTTGAATGGTCCGATATGGGTGATTATACTTGCAAAGTGCAGTCGGGATATACGGAAAAGAGCGTCACCACATTCCTGTATCCCTTTCAATCCGTACGTACATAATTAACTTTCGCAAATTTATCCAGTATATTTATTTAGTATTAACGTGTAATATATGCGTCTTAATGCCTCCAAAAACGCGTGTCAATTAATTAGAGTTAAGAGTTTCGTCAACGTAATACTCTCGAAATATATGCATTCTAGATAATTCCTTTTTTCAATTGCAAAAAAAAAATTCTGTGTATTTTTTGTTTCAGAATTCAAAAGAAAGGCAAATGATAAATTCCATGTAAAAAGACTTAAAAAGATTCCTACATTTCTAATGCCTTTTGCCATAAGCGTGCATAAGTGACCAAAATCTGTTACACTTATCATTTATCTATAAAAATAGATAAGTAATTTAATTAGAAATATTATTATGTATTAGAGAAAAGTACTTATTTTTTTTTATTACATTTACGATACCAGTGCTACTTGTCCTCGAAGGCTCGATATTCGAGCGACAGATTCGCTTTTTACGTTGAATTGCACAAAAAAAGTTTTTCTCTTGTATCCGCATCGAAGAAAGTTTGTAAACGAGTTGAAGAGAGTTTTAATAAACGCGTCATGTACCATCTACGCTTTTTGTAAAAATGTTTACTCCCACTATATTTGTTATAGAAATATCTAAATATAGATTTTTAACAGACTAATGTTCTTTGGTTTATCGATATGAACAACGTCTATTTTAAACTGTTTAGTTTTTATTATATACGCTATTTAATTATATTTACATTTCGTACAAGATTTGTTATAATTTATAAATTTGTAATGAAATTTATACAATAAGAGCAATTAAATGCGAATTATATACATTACTTATCATGTTGTCCATTAGGTTAACTCCAAATAAGAATTATGTTCAATCAATCCGTCAGAATAAAACGTAAGTTTTCTTTTATAATTTTTATAACTTTTTTACTCTTCCCTCTTACCTCGCTTGTTTTGCTTGTTAGTTATAATGTGAAATATAAACAAACGAAAACGCTTATTTATTAAATCGATTTATTAAGCAGAAACAATATCTCTTCGATTCAAAGTTGTATGTCACTGTTTTCATCATCAAAATGATAATAATAAAAAATGATTTATTCTAAGGCGGAATCACAAGTTGAATATTGCATCTGTTGCAAAGGCCATCAATAAATACTATTGTTCTATATATAAATGTATTTATGACGATACAGAGTAAAGTCTAAAAATTATATGGGAAAAATAGTATGTGAAACACATGTAGTATCACGCATCCCAGTATCAAGTGAAATTTTCACGTAACGCACGGAACATTTGCCCAAGATGTTCGGAGATGTACACGGGACGGGAGTAATAGGAGAGGGTAGACGAAAGAGGTGAGCGTTAACGCTTACGGAATTTAGAATTACATCTCCGTATTACGGATACGGTTCTCTAATGTGTAATTAGTCGCAGTGTAGTGTAAATTACTCAATTACACACATACACACACTCTTCATACTCATTTACCTTTAGTGGCTCGTATCGCCTTGCATATTTCGATCCACGGGTGTCCGTAGGAACTGCAAACGTCACACACGTTATTAGTCGAGCTCGAGGATGGTTTTTGTTGACTAGCTTGATGCCCGGGTGTACTCGGCGACGATGAGCCTTCTCTTTTTGATTTACACGCGGTCGACGAGAAACGACGAGAGAAATCGATTGTGGAAGGCGGCGGGGAGGCTGGCGCGCGGGTCTTGCGCGACGGCAACGTTGCTGAATTGTACGGCAAGTTCGACGAGGGTAGACCGGCGGAGGGCGATCGTTCCGACGACGGCGATGACTTCGCCGTCGATCGGACCGACCGGCAGGATGGTGAGGACAGGCGCATACACCGCAGAAGGTTGAGTCAATCGTTGACCAATCCTTGGGAGACGCTAATCAGCTGCTCCTTCAGGACGCGGAAGGATGGTCGTACTTCTGGACAGTGTGCCCAGCATTTGCGCATTACCTGGAATTCGAATCCGTAAACTCGTAATTCTGTACACGAGAGACGCACGATCGAGAATAGGAGACGAAAAAAAGAAAAACGCTAATTTACCTCGTATACTTCCTTGAAACACGCCTTGGGTCGTTCTAGAATGATACCTCGCTGCACTCGCTCGACGACTTCCGTATTCTTTAGGCGACCATAAGGCATCTTTCCGCACGTAAACACCTCCCACATAAGTACTCCGTATGCCCATACATCCGATTTCGAACTAAAGCGCGTGTAGTTCAACACTTCCGGCGGCGCCCATTTAATGGGAAATTTAGTACCGCCGCTACTGGTATACTGATCATCGAGTACGTACCTGGAAATATTCGAACTCAAGTCAGTTAAATTTCAATACTCGCTTACATAATTTCTATTTCAATTAAGCTTTTTAATTTTACAAAATATAAGGATCCAAAGGTAAAGTAATCTACCTAGCTAAACCAAAATCTGCAACTTTTACTACATTTTCCGATCCCACCAGACAGTTACGTGCCGCAAGATCTCTGTGTATATAGTTATGCCTTTCTAAATATGCCATTCCTTTGCAAACCTATACAAAGAAATATAAGTATCTATAAGAGGATTAAAAAAAATCTCGATATTATTTTAGAATTTCTATTGATCGTAATCGTGTCCTAATGTCTGCAAGATGGAATTTGCATTTTACCTGTATACACATATCTAACAAGAGGCCAACGTTTGCACCTAATGAGGTTTCATGACGGCGGAGGTAGTTGAGGAGAGATCCATGTCGCATGTATTCTGTGACAATGTATATTGGTCTATCTTTACTGCAAACGCCGTATAGTTGGACTAGGTTTTGATGTTGCAGTTTTCTGCACGAATAAATAAAAACTTATGATAAATACATTTTAGTGAGAGCTATCGATATTATTTAGAGAATAAGTTATGTGTGAATAACAAAGTTTTTGATTTAATTAAAAGAATTCCAAGTGGAGTGTTGCCCAGTTGCTCATCGAAAGTCTCGATGCGGAAACTAGATTGAGACTTACGTCATCACTTTAGCTTCTTCTATAAAGTCGTCCTCGGACATGGTTCCCTCTTTCATCATCTTCACGGCGACATCGATGGAGCCGCGCCATTTTCCTCTCCGCACGACTCCAAATTGGCCGGACCCGAGTTCCTCCAGCAAATGTAATTCCGCTGGGTCGATTTCCCATTTGTCTGTGAAAAAGCCGTCCACCGTTATGTATCGTCATATAGCCGAGAGAAGCTCCTTCTTTATATCTTATGTCTCATACATTTCATATATTAAGGAATGGAGAAAGTGCACGTATATATAAATTTTACGAACCATGACTGAGGCCGGCAGTTGGTGGTACAGGACGATCGCAGGGGCTGGTCTTCAATCGACTGGCTAGACCGCCGCTGTTATGTCTATGGTAATTAACCAGATCGGGAATAGATCCGCAGCAATGCTTTTCCGACAAGTAAAATTCACCGCGGGTATTCTGTTTGATGTGGTAATGTTTCACGTGGGGATGTGGCCTGTAGCAGAAAACGGAAAATCTTAAATTATCGGAGACTGGCAACTGTACTTACGCCTGGGTGCAAAACAATTTAGAGTTGAAAGCCAGTCCGTAGAAGCGCTACTTGTAATCGTTGACAGTACTGTTAACTTACACTTTCGTGTAAAGCGAGAGCGTGTAAAGCCCCTTCGTCGAGGAGTTACGAACGACAAAACAACCCTCCTTATCTTCTTGCTTCAGCAGCGACTCAGCTCGTTGTCTTGACATATCGCCTACGTACCATCTACAACAGCAAGTGGAACCATTTTTTTTACCTTTATCATATACGAACATCTTATGATTTATGTAAGATCTCTACTAAACGCTGTTCTGGTGGAAAACAGCCGACTGATAACTCGAAAAATGGGAAGAGCAACAAAAGGTGTTATCGAATTTACGAGATACTAAATTCAACGATTTGTAGGAAAAGATTATACGTCAGACTTACTCGTATTTTTGCAGTCCCAACAGCTCTTTTTCTTTAACGTAATTGCTGGGAATGTAGCCAATCGATCTGCAATTAAATGCGCGCCGTATAATAACTTTGTGTAACCCGTTTTTCATCGTGCGTACGTATTTTACGTGCATAGGTAAACAATCCGGCTATTGCGAATAATTATAGCTGATTACACAAGAATTCCAAGATTATTGTTTGCAAACGATGCGCCGTACAACCGATTATTTTTCACGATTGCCGGTTGATAGCTACCATCGTGACACATGTGCAAGATAAAAAATTTAGATAAATCGTTGTAGCTAATTCGTTTGTCGTAAAGAAGTTTTAAAGAAGAGCTAAGTCGCGATGCAATTTTTAAAACTGTTTCGAAAGAAATTCCCCCGTACCCATTCTCGTCCTTAACTTTCCACCAGTGCTCTTGAGAATCGTCCAAAACCTCGTACTCTGCACCCTATACTCGTAAAAACAGATATAATAAATATTGTATGTTTATTTTAATATAATGATATGCTATAAACAATCATATACAGACTATTTTACACCATCCTTTTTTCTCGAAAATAGTGACCGCAAGTCGTAGAAAAATATTTTATTACCAAAGCCTATCTGAACTATCTAATGGTGGCATTTTGGTTTTCCGAAAATTATCAAAGATAGGGTTAAGCCTGAAATTTTCGAAATAAAAACATAAATCGAGTGGAGTATCGTTGTTTAAAAAATTTTTTAAAAACAATTTTTGCTTAAACTTTTTTTATACCATTTCTAATTTATGTGAAAAATAATGAAATGTCATGGATTATGAATCATTTATTTTTCCAGATATCAAAAATTATCATTCAAATTAAAACTGTTTTACGTGTGATGATTTTTAAATAGTTCAGATAGCTTTTGGTAATGATTTTGATTTTTTTCCTTTGCAACTTCCGATCACTAGTCACTTCTATCCACTTCCAAGAATAAAGGGTGATTTGAAACATCCTATATATTATAATAATTCATCCTATATATTATAATAATTCACTTTTTTCTCTTCATAATATTTATTATTTTGAAAAATGTGCTTCTAATTTTATTTATTATTTTGTTTCGTCTTTACCTTTTCGAGAGATAAATCACCGCCTTCGATGGCACGGAAAGGATACAGAGCCACCACAACTTTCGCCCGCAACATTATCTTTTCCTGCGAGACAAAATTAATTTGCATGGATTACGTAAAAATGCTAAGAATGAGGAAGTTTCCATTCCAACGGAACGTGAATTTACCTTCGCTTTAGAGGATGGTGTGCCGGGTGTACCGCCTGGCATTATCGGGGTTGAGGGCGTTCCTGTAAAATAAGAGTGAACGGGAAAAGATTTAGTATATCATTTTGGCGTGACATCACGTGATTTTAATATCATTTTGATATTTGTCTATTACACGAATCACTTGTTTTTTTTTTAAATAATTTAACAATGCTACATTTTCATTATTTATCCACAAACGTTTTACGTTCTTTACATATGTATCATCTTATTAAGATATTTTGTTGTAACAAATAGGAGTCCCCGACAACGCGCTTTAACGGCAACTAATAATTATTATTTTATCAAGCACATCCATCCGTTTAATTTTTACATAAAAGAGTGACCCGGACGGCGATGTTCCTCCTCGCGTGCAGGTAACGCACGGCGGGAGCTAAACGGGACATCTCGAGAATCCCGACTGACGAGCACCACGCTGGTCTGACAGCATACCAAACCGTGCACGCGGAGAACGATACCACGCGAGAGCAGTCTCCACCCTGTCTAGACAAAATCAATGCGACCTCAAACCTCCTGCATCCCCTCCCCGGCATCTCTTCAGCACACCGCTCCAGCGTTCGCACGTGCACGCGCTCGTCGCGTGTGCACCATAACTGCGTGCGCTGCATCCACCGCAGCGCGCATTGGTCCAGCGCTGTCGCGCTAACAGTACTCAACCTACCCCCGTGTGAAATTTCTGTGTGTGCGAAATCTCGGAAATTGCTTCGCAACTCAACCGCCGCGCCGCACCGGCACGAAGTTCACGAGCGATGTGATATTTTACGAAACGTGTGCTCTCCTAAATGACGACTCCCGTCATCCTGTTGCAGTCCTCATATCGTTATCGTTTAAATCGTAATGAATCAGCTTTTCTCTCATCGCGTGACAACTTACATTTCAAAATGCTCGTTTTCTTAATGCTCAATGCGTGTCCTTTTTTCTTCTCTTTTCTATCCTCTTTTTGGCCGAGTTTCATTACCTGGGGTAATCCCGGCAGACGTTCCGCCTGAGAATTTTTCTTTGCAAAAAATATTTGGGATATCTTCGCCATGCTCGAGCAGTTCTCTGCTTCTTGGAAAAAATTTCCCATACAAACGAAATGCATGTAGGTATATCTTTTTGACCGGAGATAGAATTAAGGGGAAAATACTCGGCGCGAGTTGATACATATAAAATTTCAATCTTTCAAATTTTATTTCGCTCTATGTTTCTATTGTTTCTATTGTTTCCCAAATATTTTTCGTATTAGATATCGCGAATAAAGAAAAATTAAATAAAAATATAAGCGAAACGCTCCGTTAAATAACAATCAAATTTCTAAAACGACAGCTAGATTTCTCCTTTAAAATATTGTTAATTTTCACACAATACCTTCGAATTTTTCGCGCAATTTTTCAGTGAATGGCAGCACAGATTCGTAGAGAAGCTTTTCGAGGAGCGCCGGGAGAATCTCAAGGAGGATATCTCGGTAATGAAAGTCTCGCCGGGACACAAGGTCCGCGATGTGAAAAGAGAGTAACAAAATCCGCCGGAGGCGTTGCGTCTCTTTTTCGATGCATCTCCGAAAATATTCTGACTTTCGCGGAAATTCAATAAATGGGAGAGTCTTAAGAAGGAGAGACGGTAAGGTAAACGTCTGAAATAGCGAGACGCAGTGATATTGAATCCGACTCTCAATATTGATTCAAATATATATAACGCGATGTATTGTTAAGTGAAAAAATATCTCGCAATATCTTAGTGATACCACATTACGTTTACATCGTTTCTTTTTTTCGTGTAGATATGTCGTCAGTGGAGGCTGTACTGCATAAGTTACAGCGGGATAATTTGAATAATTTCAAACTTCTTAAACAATAATAAATTTCTATAAGATTCCCGATATTAAAAATGACAATATAAGAAGGCAATGGGA